CATGAGAAACTCTCCAGACACAAAACAGAACGCTTTAAAAGAGACTAACGTCGTCTATGCCTTCAAATGCCCACTTGGGGACTGTAAGCTCCAAAAAACCCAGTATATAGGCAAGACAACAACATCTCTTTCCAGGCGTTTAACGATGCATAAGCAACAGGGCTCCATTAAGGAACATATAATCTCTTCCCATAACCAAACCATCGCCAGAGAAATCCTAGTAAACAACACAGAAATCATCGATAGATACAGCGATAGCAGGCGGCTTGACGTTTGCGAGGCACTACACATCAAGAAGTCAACACCAGCAATCAACAGCCAATTATTGCACAACTATATTCTACCCACCTCAAGACTCCGCTCCAATATAGAAGCATCAAGAAATATGGACCAATAGGCTTTCTACAAACACTTCTATTCAATACCCATTGTTTCTGTTCTGTCTTGTGTTGATACTTTTAATACCCTATTAATATCCCCTCATGTTCTGTCTTGTGTTAATGCCACGTCACTATATGCCACATCATCCTTCCCACCTCACTCAAATGTAGATATAATAGCAGAGATACGTAAGTTCTAATCAGTTGTGTATTTGTGAAGTCTTTGAAAATGTAATAAGTTTTACGAAACGCGCCCGTGTCGCGTCAGACTAGAAATAAAAATGAATTTTGGAGAAGTGATTTTTTATTTACCTCCAACAGTGAAGCGTAATGTACGAAAGATTGAGAAAATTCGTGTTAGAATTATTAATCTTACTTTTTCGGTCATATTTAATAATATATGTCTACAGGAAAGACTGTTACCAAAATATACTAATATATATATATATATATATATATATATATATATATATATATATATATATATATATATATATATATATATATATATATATATATATAAGGCACAACTCTCCTAAACACGAGAGTGAAGTATACAACTTTAGAACACTTTCCCACCAGGAGACTCGAACCCTAGCCAGCACAGAAGCCTTCCAGCAACTGGCATAACAGGTACGCCTTAACCCGCTCCACCACCTGCTCAGACCCTTAAAAGAGATGGTAATTTCGGAGTATTTATATACCCCAAAGATCACCACCTCCCAAGAGCACTAGAGCAAGTGAGGGCAGGTGGTGGAGCGGGTTAAGGCGCACCTGTTATGCCAGTTGCTGGAAGGCTTCTGTGCTGGCTAGGGTTCGAGTCTCCTGGTGGGAAAGTGTTCTAAAGTTGTATACTTCACTCTCGTGTTTAGGAGAGTTGTGCCTTAAGCATAGACACAGTGTTCTCCCATATTAACAGGGACTTGATGAAATAAATGTATAAATGACCCCTCACTTGCTCTAGTGCTCTTGGGAGGTGGTGATCTTTGGGGTATATAAATACTCCGAAATTACCATCTCTTTTAAGGGTCTGAGCAGGTGGTGGAGCGGGTTAAGGTGTACCTGTTATGCCAGTTGCTGGAAGGCTTCTGTGCTGGCTAGGGTTCGAGTCTCCTGGTGGGAAAGTGTTCTAAAGTTATATATATATATATATATATATATATATATATATATATATATATATATATATATATATATATATATATATATATATATATATATATATATATATATATATATATATATATATATATATATATATATATATATATATATATTGTGACGATAATCTCTTTCAAGAGAGATTGAGCCTGCTCTTCTCTACATAAATTTACGTATATTATACAACAATAAGATGCTACCTTCAAGATACGTCTACCAGTAGCACAAAACGTTTTGACCAGGAGGCAAACGTACCCAAGACTCCACCCTACTCCACACTCCCTCCATGCCGGCTTTGTCATCAACCAGCAAACTACCATTCCCAGCTTGCCTGCTTCTGATTGGTGACTCGCCGACTGCACACCTGCACCTCAGCGCCCTCTACAAGTCGATGTCTGGGCTTGAACAGACCATTGAAGTTATAATATCCTTGTGCTCTCAAGCCGTGGACAACTAACTGATATACACTATCAGGTGGATGTTTCTCAGCTAGCGCTATATTCTCAGCACCTGTTTAATCACTTTGTCTTTATATTGTAGAGTACCGTCATCCCTATTCTTCATTTATGTTATATGTTTTTTACTTGTTTGTTTGCACTGTACATAGCCAAGAGATTGTCTTTGTTTTTAATTTGTTTTCTATATTAATTAAAGTTTCATTGTTCATACTATGTGTTTTGCGTGTCTTACCTTACTTTACCCTTTACCACAGACAAACAGCCAAGCAGTCTATCTTTTTTTTGTAAGTGTGACTAGGCATTGACACCAGCCATTAGGAGGACTGCTGAACATCTACACTCCTACACTTTCCCGTCACAATATATATATATATATATATATATATATATATATATATATATATATATATATATATATATATATGTGTGTGTGTGTGTGTGTGTGTGTGTGTGTGTGTGTGTGTGTGTGTGTGTGTGTGTGTGTGTGTGTGTGTGTGTGTGTGTGTGTGTGTATATGTTTATCTAAGGATAAAAGCCCCTCATCATCCTCTTATGTTATTTTAATGGTGTTAATTAGTTTTCAAGTGATGAGACTAATTAAGAACTGCTGTAAATATTGTGTTAGCAGCAGTAGTTTCAATCGCTGTTATTTAATTTATGTTATTGTTTAATTAGTGACTGTGAAATAAAACTCACGCCAATCTGAAGGATAAATTTCGTGGATAACAGTCAAAAAATTGGTTGGTTTCTTTGAGTGTTTTCCACTCACATGTTATTTAATTGCACGTATTTTTGTTCTTTGGTTGATTCCTTGGAACAATGATAGTGCTTGTTGTTTGCAATAACTTCTGTGTACTGCTGGCTGAGGTTAACAGAATGAAGCTGCTGTGATTTATAGTAGTATACTTTTGCTGCTATATTTAATAATTTATATATGTTAATTACACTGGTTATTTATGTATTTGAACCATAAACATGATCCTGGTTTGTAAGGAACATAAACAAGTGGGGATTTATCCCAGCAGGATATTGTTTGTTAATATATTTATATATTAAATTATTAATTTATTTAACTTACTTTAATTTATTATTAACTCAAAGTGGACTGTATATTTAAAAAGTTAATATTTTAGGTGTTTACCTGATCATATATTTTTTGAAGAGGGGGGGGGGGATTATGAACGTAGCCTATACAACCAATAGTGGATAATAAATAAACCAATAAATTAATGTTAGTACTATAGCTAAAATGGATTAGAAAAATGTTAACAATGTCTTAGCTGCTAGATCAACCTGTCCTCTTAAAAAGAACGCCGCTTTTGGCCATTTGCCAGTATGGCCGAATTTGGACGTAATTTGAAAATGAAAAAAAATGAAAATAAATTTGGGATTTTTTTTTTCAACAACAGTAAGTTAAGGGTCCTCTGATAGGTTAGGTGGGCAGGAAATTCTCATAAAGTTTCAAAACGGTTTGGAAAACGTTAATTTAAAGTGTCCTCTTAATAACCTCTGCGCGTACACCGGACGACTCAAATAGAAAACGGAACAGAACGTCACAAAATAGAGTATAGCCTTGTAACAGGCACTGAGCACTCCAAAGTCACATATATGAAACTCGTTGGTTGAGCTCTAATGGTGACTGTGAATGTTTCCTGTTCCACTGGGACGACTCGAAATACACATACACAGCGAAAGATTGAAGCTTGAAGTAGCCCAAAAAAATGCTGAGAACTGCCCTGGGAGCCCCTATGTGGACCAGGCTTGAAACTCTAAGATTGGAAACGGGTTTGCCCTCTCTTCAAGAAAGAATATCTCAAAGAACAGCTACGATTATCAGTAAGATAATTGTTTATCCTGATCCAGTCCTAGTACGACAGGCCTTGGGGGCTGGACTTGGCCAAAACAACGGAAACTCTTGGGCTGCCAGAGCGGGAGAGATCCTAAACTGATTGCAATTAAAAAGCATGATTCTTGATAGAGTTGATATTCCACACCCAAATTACACTTGTTCCCCACCGTGGGAGGAGTCTACCTTCAAAATAGTAATATAAGGTCTCCCGATGAAAAATGCTGCCTATGAACCAACAATCCTGAAGCGCATCATTGAAAAGAAAATAGGCAGCATTGCAGTGGCAGGAGCCACCCACATCTTCACAGACGGATCGGTTGTCACAGACTACGAGAGTGCTGGCGCTGCTCTTTGCACGACCAGCGTTCAGGCATATTGAAGACTGGGAGGACCAGAATCATCAACCCAAACTGAGCTGTTTACCATACAACAGGCATTCGCATATGTGATTGCACAAACACTCAAAATGCAACCATACACACAGACTCAAAAGCTGCAAGTAGAAACCTTCCGGGTTCAGTAGAAGCCTCAGGAAATCCTTGTGTGATCAGTAGAACCCCAGGTTACAATCCTTATACCATGTGGTGGTCTAGTCATTAGAAACGTGTGCATGGGAACATTCACCGCATAGGTTCGAATCCTCATTATAGCTCCTACAAATTTTCTCATTAAGCATTATATATATTTCTCATTAAGCATTATATATATTTCTCATTAAGCATTATATATATTTCTCATTAAGCATTATATTAAGCTGTCAGGGCGCCTAACAGCTGAGTGGACAGCGCTTCGGATTCGTAGTCCTGAGGTTCTGGGTTCAATCCCCGGTGGAGGAGGAGACAAATGGGCAAAATGTTTCTTTCACCCTGATGCCCCTGTTACCTAGCAGTAAATAGGTACCTGGGAGTTATACAGCTGCTACGGGCTGCTTCTTGGGGGTAACAACAAGGAGGCCTGGTCGAGGACCGGGCATCGGGGATGATAAGCCCTTAAATCATCTCAAGATAAGATTATATGACAATTAACACTTATTTCTAGTTCTGAGAGATTTTATACAGGGGTGTAGTCACAAGGTTTACACCATATAGATCCACTCGTTGTAGCACATGTGCAGAGGTACTTTTTCTCCTCTTAGTTCCTTCTATCTTATAG